GGGCTATATTTGGGGTGGCGTGTTTTACAGCGCTTTGCCAACAGCGCCGACCCACTGAAGTCTAGATTGCAGGAGGAGGGGCGGCTTGTTTTACAACGTCGTTGCCAAGCGACGAAAACCCAANCTCTCCGCCTCCTGGGGCGACAGTGCCGTGGGGGGGCACAGCTCCTTCACGGCCGCTCGCAGGCGGTAGGCGTCGATAAAAGGGAGCACGTTGACTGCCTCCCATGGGTTGCGCTTCCCGTTCATGTCGATCTACAGGGCGTTCACAACGAGCAAAAAGGCGTTATCTTACACGTTGGGGGGGGGGGGGGGGGGGGGCGGGGCTTGTTTTACAACGTCCTTGCCAAGCGACGAAAACCCAACCCCGATGGCAAAGACACCGTGCAATCGTTGGGATTTTGCTCGAGACTACAACAAGAGTAGTATCGTCAGAGCCGATACATGTACACGAGTCGCGTGCAACTCACGGCGACGCCATACACGGGAACCTACTGATGTGCTCGTGCGTTGCATAAGAAGCAGTCGGTAGTAACCCTGTTCGGGTGTTTGTGACTCTTGCAAGAGTGAAGCGTGCGGGTATCTGTTTAGCGAGGAACACATTGGCTCCTATACCTGGCGGCCATGTCAGTGCTATGCATACAATGGTGATAGGCGTGACTCCCTTATGCATAGTGTAGCAGTATTTCATCTTGCGCCAGAATTAGCAGTACAGAACGTGGCGGGAGCCTGGAACCTCTCCACTCCGTCTTCAGAAACTCACAGCAGACGTGAACGTACAAGGAAAGTGTGTCGCCTTGTTCCGGCATAGACGAAACACCTTCTACGCCAAACGCGAGCACGTCATGTGGGAAATGTTTTCGTGGGACTACTGCCTCATACTTCTAGAAGGTTCAAAGTGATGCTAACCCTTACCGTACGACCCACAAGGAGAACGTGAGTGCCACACACGAGGCTTCGTGATCGAAATTCTGAAGCATATGCATACAATGCGCACGCGACCCTGCCACACCTTGGTCTTTTCCTGCATGGCCACATGGACGGTCTCCCTGCCTCCTTCGTTCGTGTACACCTCCACGTCCTGGTCCTCGATCACGGAAGCGGCTACCCTACGCCAATGTGTTCTCGCCAGCTTCTGCCCACTCTCTGCGAAAGGGTTGCGCTTCTGGATCGCTTCTCAGAGTACGACCTTCTCCGCAGGGGTCCAACAGAGACGAGTGGAACCTGGCGAGGAACAGGAGGAGGGCGTACGTATCGATGAGCGTCAGGACAGGCTCTTGTCTGCACTTTTACAGCGAGAGTGGAGCAGTACTTCAGTTCGACCTGCTGTGTGATCATTACAGCCTGTTTTAAATTTTGTTAACCCAGACACACATCGCTCAATTTGAAGCGCGAGATGAAGCAACACCCGTCACCCCCCCACCATCTCACACACCACGCTCCTTCACCTCTACATACGCGCTGATACATCTGTACAGAACTGCTGTCGGTGCCTGCGCTCGGCGGCCACGTAGACTATACAAGCGGAGGGAAAAAACTGCTTCTGTACGCACGCCCCCCGCACCTGACGCACGGCGTGTTGCACCTAGGTGCGCCACATGGAACTGCATTACTGCTGCTGTGTCGGCGGCTTGAGCGTACCTATGCGAGGTTCAATCGATACTAACCTTCGTCGTTAGGCTTCTGCTTCGCCTTGCCCCCGGCACGCTGCCCACTCTGTTGGCTGCTGATCCACCCTCCGGCTCGGGCGTACCACCACCGCCTCCAGCTGCGTCGCCAGGAGACGGGCTGGAGTCTGCTACGGAGAAAGGGATGGTGGCGGGCCCACCTCGACGTGCGAGTGCGAATCCTCCTGCCAACCTAGACCCATCTGGGGGGCTGCCGTACCCCTCATCTGGGTTGCGGTGCCTAGGCGTGCTGCGCCTGTGTGGCGTCTCGGAGGCGTCGGAGTCGAGTCCATGACGAGCACAACGACTCCAACAAGACGGCGGCCGCAAACAAAACCCTCCTCCAAATACGCACTCCCTCCTCGAGCCGACGCCGGCGTACGCCCAGCACGCAACGTCCTAGCGCAGCCGCGGGGAGGCGGAGAACGCCTTCGCGCCCCGCGGCTACTGCGCGTATTCGCACCTTCGTGTACCCTTGCTTTCAGCTACCCCCAACCCTTGCTCCGTATTTGGAGGCCCAGAATGCCACGTATCAGGTTCGAACACTTCCTGCACGCGGCGCGGGAAAAGCCTTAGCGTGCCACGTTCCAGCACCCTCCCGAACAAACCTCCTCCGATACTCTCAGCTGCGAACTCAGACGTATTCGGCCTTCGCATCGTACAGATTCGAAGCCAGTGTAGTGTGCTGTTGCACCTGGTGTCGTTTCGCCACCCTGCCCTCTTCTCCAACAGGAAAAATCTCCTTGTTCAAAAAAAATATCCGGTCCCCAACGAAAAACTTCCGGTCCCCTTTTTCCGGTTAGAAGTGCGGCGTAATCGCCTTAACCGGAAATACACACCGCTACCGGAAGTTTTCACCCTATTGGGGAACCCCCCTATTATGCCGTGAACCTGGCGGGGCCCGGATGTCCGTCTGCCGGTCGTCGAACAGCTATTGTGACCGAAGTATCGGTGAAGCAGACCACGAACGTGCAATTGCGTTGAAACAAGACGGAATGTGCTTGTTCGGAATACGTATTGGGTGCCTCCTCGGGAAACAGTGTGGCATGCCGCCATCGGCGGAAAGCAGATAGAAGGTTGCGGTAGACCTACGGTAGCGCGTGGAATGCGTGGATGGACGCCATAAAGTATCCCGAATTCATGCTGCGCACCGAACCTCGTGAGAGTGAGGCACAACAGCAGCCCAGAAAGGGCTAGGACCAAGTCGGGTAAAACAGTGACCAGCGACAAGGCAAATGCGCCTTTTCGTGGGCCAGTTATGTGTTCTTTGTTTTGCACTTTCTCGGAAATAAGAAGCGATCACATAGAGAACAAATTTCAAAACTTCAAAAGATAGGTGGCAGGCACCAAGCGGCCGCGGGATACATGGATGCAATCCCACAGGCGTGCGGCCATGCGTGGCGACGTGGATCCAGGCAATGCATATGTACATACCGAGTGCGTGCTGTTCCGCGAACCTCGTGAGAGCAAACCACCAGAGGCAGCGCGGAAGGACAGGCACCTCAACCGGATGCCCGCAGACCACAAAACCACGTCATCGCTGGAGTTTCAACAATACAAGAACAGTGGCCTATAGCCACTATGTCACGCAGCACACAGCAGAAATTACAGCAGTAGAGCAAAGCACACAAGACGCACCTCCGCGTTTGCGGGTGGGATGTCCAGAGGTTTGACGAACTCCTCATCGCGGCAAACCTTCACTCCGCCTGCACCTGCATCTCCCGTCCAATCCGCCGGCTGTGGACCGGCTGGCTAGCTGCGGACTGCGAACTATCTACAGTCTGCGGGACTCCTAATCCCGCTCCTCCTGCTGCTGCTACGGGCTGCTGCTGCTGGGGGCAGCTGGGGGTCAGGCTGCACCTCCTGGGTTGGCAGCGTGCAGCAGCACGTAGTCGCCCGACTCGAGGAGCACTCCGTGGAAGCTAGCCAAGACCACGACATGGCCAACGCGGCGCCGCACCAAATCAGCCCGCCGTGGTGCAACGCGGCTGGAGCCTTGTTGTGGAGTCACCCAAACTTTCGTACTATTATTGAGTGATGACGGGAGAGCTGGTCCGACTCTCCCGAGCTGGGCATCGCCGAAACCGGCGCTGGTGATGCGGCTGGCGCTGGAGCTCCGACTGGCGCCGGCGCCGGCGCGGGCGGCGTCGGATCGGCTCGAGTTTTTCCTGGCATCTCTCGAAATTTTTCTTTCCCGGTGTTTTCGCGTATTCACGGTAGGGAGAAAGACAGTGATCGGCTGTATGCATATTTCAACATGTGACCGGGAGACGCCTACATCCATTGTCGTGCCGAATTTGAATTCGTTCGCGCCACGCGAGCTGATGCAAACAGCTCGCATCTTAGTGCACTCTACGTTGTACCGCTTGCAACACGTGCTGGTCATATGTTTACCACAAAGAAAGGATGGAGACGCTCTATACCGGCTCTACGCAGTCGTTGCACGCCGGTACTCCGACCATTGCGGCTCGGCACCCAGTCAAGAAGTGCTCGAGCGACACCGGGGCGTGCTCCAAGATGTCCTGGAAGGACTTCACGCTGCTTGCTGCGGCCATCAGGGGGACCTTCACCATCACCACCTGTACCGATGGGAAAGAGGTACAGACGCAAGTGCGTGTGTTACGAAAAGCAGTCACGTACGTACACAGTATTTTCATGATGAACTTGATGAAATGCGTACCTTGGAACACAGTCGGCTTCTGCTCTCCTCGCAAACAACCAAAAAAGCTAGGGAGAGGGCGGCGAGGGGGAGGAGCGCCGAGGTTGCATCCTTCTCGTTCAGTTCCCTTTTCAGGATGGACGAAACAATTATCAAGTGCTGGGCGGCACGGTACAGAACCAGCCGGGGAAGGGGTGCGGTAAAGACACTACGACGGTAACTGGAACAGGTACCGGCGAGACGCGGCCGTCAATGGCAATCTACTCCTACTGCAACGGCCTTTGCTTACCACGTCGGCGTCCTCCGCCCCCTGCTTCTCCGCCAAGCAGAGAAGAGACATAACAACGAATATCGTGACCGCCGGGCCGTGAACGCCAGCCCGCATCGTCTCCTCGACGATGTCGTTGATGACACACTGGGGGAGGCCCAGCCTGGAGCAGAAGGTCGAGAGCGGCCTGGCAGCAGCGACAGGAGAAGAAGAGGAAGAAGGAGATGGGCACGTGTTCGGTCGTCGCATGCATGCATGGTGACAACTACGGCACCATATTGTCCAAAAATATGACGCATCCGTACTGAGCTCCGCCTTTGCTTCCGAAACCAAGCAGATATGTCAAAGTACATGTACACCATACAAGCGTGGACTCACTCCATGAAGATGTGTGCGAGAATCGTGTCCGCCATCTCGTTGTCCTCGTCGCAGCCAACGATCGGGTCGCGGCACAGCCATCCGGACACCGGAGCGGCGTGCATTTTGATCACCGACCAGGTGTATCGCATGGCCTGCTCAAAAGCAATGGCAAGACGTAAACCAGCAGTAGGGCGAACTCATTTTGCCGTCGTAATAGTTTCAGGCGGTCATGTACGCGAGGCACATGGGCCGTCATCCATAGGTAAACCTTACCTCCTGATATTTCGCTGACGATACGGTAAATAAACACCCATCGCCGGCGGTACATGCCGTTGTGTGTTCCATTTTTCACTGTTGACGATATCAGTGTTTCATCACCAGAATCAGGCTTGGTTCAGCCGTCGTCCCTTTCCCTCCGTCGGCTGAAAGCATCCCCGCTCATTTCTGAGGTGTACACACGTTGCACCACTACGTCAGCACGATACGTCTATAGCACACGTCACGCAGCAACAGTCTGCTGAGATTCTCACAGTGTTGATGCCGAGCTGGCCGTGCCTGTATGGGTTCATCATCATCCAGGCCAAGGGAACGGCCCACTTGGTGAAAACGGCGGCGGCCACACCCAGGTTTCCGCCCACACAGATGAAGATCGCCTTACAGGAGGCGTCGAAGCCCTGGGGCGCGGTGTGGGTACGGTCAGGATCAGTTGAACGAACACGACAATATATGCTGGCTCTACCCGCGGCAGATTCACCGCAACATGAGCTGTTGTAGGATAGGGTAGTAGCGGGCAGAGAAAGTAAACGCTTTGGA